AGGAGAATGGATAAACTGTAACTTATTCACAAAACAAATACAGCAATGAGAATGAACAAACTACAATATAACATGGACCTCTCTCACAAATGTAATGTTGAGCAAATGAAACCAGAGTATGTACTATATACATGATTCCACTTATATAGATTTCAAAAACAAACAAAATTTTTCTACAAGGAAAAATATAAGGAATATTGGCGGCAGGTAGAGTTCCAGTAAAAATGTTTCATGACCTAGGTGCTGGCTATGTGAATGTGTTTATTTTGTGAAAACTCATCTAGTTGTACACTTTTCTAAATGTATATCATATATCATTAAAACTCTTATATTAGCTGGTGCTGTCACACATGCCTGCAATCCCAGCTACTTAGGAAGCTGAGGCAAGATAACTGAAAGTTTGAGGCCAGACTCTGCAACAAGAGACCCAATGTCAAAATAAAAAGGCTGAGGATATAACTAAGTGATAAAGTGCCTGGGGTTCAATCTCTAGTACCATCAATAAATAAATAAATAAACAAACAAACAGACAGACAAAAATAAATTGAAAATCTTACATTAAATGGATTCTGATCTGGTCATCAGGATGCCTAATCCTTTTCTACCATCTATACTATGCTCAGAGATTTGACTGACAGTGATCCTACATAACCCCTATTGCTCTTCAGGATTTAAAAATCAATAGCTCTGTGAATATGCTACCAATACCCACCATTTCCGAATTATCTATTATATGACAAGGATTTTTTTTTTACATTCATATATTTAAACATTTACCAAATACCTATAGAACTGGGGTTATGGCTCAGGGTAGAGTATTCACCTAATACGTGTGAGGCCCTGGGTTCGATCCTCAGCACCACATAAAAATAAATAAATAAAATACAGATAATGGGGCTGGGGATGTGGCTCAAGTGGTAGTGCGCTCGCCTGGCATGCGTGTGGCCCGGGTTCGATCCTCAGCACCACATACCAACAAAGATGTTGTGTCCGCCGAAAACTAAAATAAATAAATAAATAAATACTAAAAATTCTCTCTAAAAAAAAAAAGTACAGATAATGTGTCCAACTACAAAAAAAAAATATTTAAAATACATATCTATTATGTACTAAACATATACCAAGTATCCAGAGTTTTTAAAACATGGTCCTTGGCTTCAAGGGGAAGCAAGAAGGCATTAGGATAGATTTCCTGGAGGTACTAACACCTAAGACTTTTGTTTTGTTTGTATCTGGGAATTGAACCCAAAGATGCTCTACCATCTTCAGCTCTTTTCTCTTTTTATTTTAAGACAAGGTCTCACTACATTCCCCAGGCTGTCCTCAAACTTGGAATCCTCCTGCTTGGCCTTCCAAGTAGCAGAGATTATAGGCATGTACTACCAAGTCCAGTTAAGACCTGAGTCTTTAAAAGATGAATAGAAATTATCCTGGCAAAGTCTGTTTCAATAGTGAGGAAAATCTGAGTAACAAGCACAGTGATTAAAAAAAAAAAAAAAACAAGGCATGATATATTTGCTAGATGTTGCTTGAGCATAGTAAAATCAAGAACTTGGATGGGATGGAAAAAGCTATCAAGAAAGAGGAAGATGTAAAGTCATGAAAGGACTTAGGCTTTATTCAAGAATAAGACAATCTGGATCAGTGAAAAAATGATGAAAGGAATGATACGGTCAATAGATTATTCAAGCAGCAGTGTAGAGAATGGACTTAACAGGATAGATTGGCAGAAAGAAGTTTAGGTAAGAGGCAGGTGTAACTGTCCTGACAGATGATAAGGGCCTGAAATAATAAAATGAAAGCTACACCAAATCTGGAGAAAAGAGACTACAGATCCATAACACTACAGGTCACACTCTTAGAACCATTAACCTAGAACAGAAGTCAGCAAATTTTTTCTCTAAAGAAACATATAGTAAATATTTCAAACTTCTGTTCCATACATGGTTTCTATTGCATATCTTGTTTTTGTTTGTTCTTTTTGGGAGGGCAGGGTACCAGGAATTGAACTCAGGGGCATTAGACCACTGACCACATTCCCATCCCTATTTGTATTTTACTTGGAGACAAGGTCTCACTGAGTTGCGCAGTGCCTCCAGTTGCTGATGCTGGCTTTAAACTCCTCCTGTCTCAGCCTCCGGAGCTGCTGGGATAACAGGAATGCACCCAGCTTTGTTTATACTTTAACCCTTTAAAAATTAAACTTAGGGCTGGGGCTGGGGCTCAGTGGCAGAGCAAATGAAATGTGTGAGGCACTGGGTTAGATCCTTAGCACTACATACAAAAATTAAATAAAGGCACATTGTCCATCTACAACTACAAAAAAAAAAATTTTTTTTTTAAATTAAACTTAGCTAGTGAGACATGGGGGGAAATGGGAGATGTAGGCCACAGTTAAGTTTGCTGATCCTTGCTGCACACTAGCAAAGAAATGAGGATTAATCTTCCTATGAGATTAATTTTCTTCCTATGAGATTAATCATATTAGTTCTTTACTCTAAAATCTCCATTGGTCCTCACTGAAGTCCAATCCCTACAATGTTTAGCACTCATAGGCTATACTCCAGCTCTAACCTCCTATTCCAGGCTCATGAATTATACCCAGGAGAACCTTCCACTCTTTATTAAATTGAACTAATTACATTTAACTGCCTCTGTATCTTGGTGGTGTTTCCCAACCCAATGTTCTTTCCTCCTGCTCCAAACTTGCCCATATACAAAGAACGATTCAAACTGTAACCTTAAAGTCACTCCACTCTCCTCAAAACTCCTAAAAAGCAACATCTAAGCTTCTCTGATATTTAACTGCTGCTTGAACTATTACTTCCTATGTATAACTATAAATTCCTTGAGGACAGACAACAATTTACACTACTCTATCAATGGATCTAGCATAAAACAAGGTATAAGTAAGATGAAGATATATGGGTGTGTGATATATATATACACACACTTATTCACTTAAATAGCTAGATAACTGAAACAATGTGATCTAACCCTTATTTCTGTTAGTAATTGAATGTTTTAATTCTATAAACATAACCTGAATGCTGCAAGAACCACAGAATGATGATTAACAAATGCATCTCTCTTATTCTTCACATGTCTTTAGGACTAGTTTCCTAAAGAAATAACAACACACTCAGGTGCAGTGGTGCCGGCCTGTAATCCCAGCAACTCAAGAGGATCACCAATTCAGGGCTGCTCCAGTCAACTTAGTGAGATCTTGTCTCAACATAAATAAAAGGGGCTGAGGATACAGCTCAGTACTGGAGTACCCCTGGATTCAATCCCTTAAAAAAAAAAAAAAAAAAAAAGAAGAAGAAGAAGAAGCTATAAAAAGAAAAAGAAACAATAACACAATACATATAAAAGTTTTTCAATAGTCAATGATATTGATATAGGTACAAAGGCACAAAATTAAAGACACAAGTTATTAGACCAATTCTAAGTTTACTTACCTATAATTTTACTTCATTTATTTTTAAAATCCAAATTGACCTTTACAATTAATTTGCTTTAAATGCACCCTCAATTATAAATTTATCACATTTATAAAGTCTCACACATATAGTTTGAATTTAGCAATAAGATTCTATGACAGTTCACATTACCAAAGTGGCATTACTACATTTACTTAGAATTTAGGGAAATAAGAATATAATTCTCTATGTGAAAAGTTTTAAGAAAATAGTCCATTTTAGTTCACTGTTGATAAATAACTATCATCACATAATTTAGCTTGATTAAAGAATTCATCTTATATTGTGAAAATACAGTGAAACTATCTTTCTAAATACAAAGTGTGAGCTGTGTCCAATTTTACTACCCAAAGAATGTTCAAGAATCTATAAAAATTCCTCCAGAATACTTACCCACATTCCAATACAAAACAACAAAAAGAGTTTAAAACACTCTTAGAAAGGGATAGAAAATCACAACAGTTATACCAAAAGATGGCCAAGAAAGTGGAAACTAGAACCAAGTTTGTTGGCCCACCTCTACAATTTCAGAGGCTTGGTTCTGCCAGAGGATGGCAAGTTTGAGGCCAGCCTAAGCAACTTAGCAAGGCCCTGAGCAATGCAGTGAGCCCCTATCTTAAAAATAAAAATTTAAAAAAAAAAAGAGCTGGGGATGTAGTTTGGGATAAAGTGTCTCTGGGTTCAATTCATAGTACCAAAAAAAAAGTGAAAGCTGAGACTTTTTTGAACTCTTTTTAACTCTTCAAAACACATTGAAGGAAAGCTTATTTACAACTCTGAAAGGCTATTTTTCATCAATAATATTAAAAATTCATTGTAGAGGACATAACCAGAAACCAGGGCCTCCCTTTTTTCAGTTCCTAGCTTAGTCTTGGACACCTTGCTGAACTTCTCTACATGTTTCCCTATTTACTGAACAAGAATTTAAATGACATTCTCAGGTTGTGAGAGCTGTTTAAAGGTTGATGAAGTACTTCAGAAACATAAAGGAAAGCCACTGTAACCATAAAATGTCATACCTGCTTAATGCAAAAACTATAGCTACCTGTTAGCAGTGGGTTCCAAATCCAATCATGACAATTCTTGCCTGTCTTAACAGAGCAAATCTTCAGTGAGTCAGAATGGTGTATGTATTTAATGAACTAGTTTAACAACCTCACAGAAAAGAATTTCTTTCCAAATCTTTGTTTCCTCAAAACCTGTGTCACTATCCAGCCAAGTTATTGGTAAAAAGGAACATGATCCAACTCATGTCAGAAGTTAGGTCTAGTTATTGATAAACCAATACCAAATGACAAAAGACTATCAGACATCACAGGGAAACTTTCTTTGTTAACATACCAGAAATGTGACCCCTGAAAATAATCCCAGAAAGCAATGGTTCTAACAAGAGCTTTATTAAAGGCAGAGTCCCTACCCTTTCTTACATAAAGAACTCGAAAAGGTTTTGAGACAGGAGAGACAAGAAGAAGGAATTTACTCAAAACCTAAACTAATTCTTTTAGGTAGTTCCCGCACCTGCCTAGAGCGACTAGAGACTGTGGAGAGGCTGCTCAGGAAAAGTGCTGATGCCATCTCCAGCTGTCCCTGCATGACAGTAACAATGCAAACACTGACAAAAGAGCTGGGAGGCCACTCAAAGCCCCTGCTTGGCAGTACTTCCTTCCACCCGAGTCCCGACCTACAAAGCGACAAATCCCTGAAAGGCCATCCTCTGACAGGTCTCCCACGCGGAGACCTTCTGTCTAGTCTGGAGCGTGAAAAAGTACCAGCCTTCACTCCCTCCAAGAGCGAGGCACCCTAAAGGTGAGGGGAAATGCTGCCAGTCTTTCTTAAGTGCCAGAGGAAAACGGCCAGGGGACTTCCTCTCGGGCTCAGGGTGAGGAGGCTCCAGCGCGGGCGCACCGAACTCCCTCGCGCGAGGGCGCCC